CTCTCTCTCTCTCTCTCTCTCTCTCTCTCTCTCTCTCTCTCTCTCTCTCTCTTTCTGTGTGTACATAACATTCATTTATTTATCTTTGTGTCTGTGAGAAAGTCTCACTGGAGCATCCAGATGGCTCAGAGGGTCAAGGCACCTACTACCAAGCCTGATGACCTGAGTCCAAGTCCCAGAACACATATGGTGAAAGAAGAGACTGAGTGCAGCAATTGTCCTCTGACCTCTACACTCTCAACATGACACACCCACCCATCATGTGCACACATAATAATCTGAAAAATAAAATGTAATCAAAAGAAAAAAAATCTCACTATGTATCCCAAGCTGGCCTAAAACTCACCGTGTAGCCCTCAGACTTGGATGATGAGTGTGTTGCCTGGGCTGCTGCCTATGACTATGTCTGGGTCCATGGTCCTACCACAACCAGGGACTGTATTGATATCCATGGCCCAGGTTGCCACCAAAAGCCACATAGATGCCTGAAGTCTGGGTTGCAACCTGTGGCCATGAGGATATCCGCGGGTCATGCTGCCACCAGGGACATCCTGATGTGAGCGTCCTGTGCTGTCATCTGGGCCAGGGCTGCTTCAGGGAGTCATATCTCGGTCCGTGGCCTGACAGCAGTTGGGGTCTGAGTTGATGTCTGGGGTTCTTGTTGTCACCAAGGGTCACTAAGACTGGGGTCTGGTCAGTCTCCTGGGACCATGTCGGTGCCCAGGGACTATGCTGCCCCAGGAGCCATGTTTATCTGGGTTGCCTATGATGCCACTGGGGCCATGTTTGCATCCAACCTGAGCTATGGGCTCAGGGTCATTGTAACTACTCTATGTGAGCCAGCCCCATGCTTCACTGAACCTGGAATAGCTGGCCCTACCCTTCACTGGATACTGCAGCAGGTAAGCTGGTCTTACTCCTCACGGGAGAGCTAGCCCCCACTCCAGCATATCCCCAACCTCACCATAGGAGTGCACCTCATCTGAGTCACATAGTAGAGCTGACCCTGTGGTCAAGGAAGCAGGTGAGCCAACCCTGAGGGCATGAGAGCATGAGACCTGATCTGATCACCCCTCATCTGTCATGTGGTAGCATTAGTAAGGGAAAGATGGCCCTTTTAACCACTGCCACCTGTGGCATGTGAGAGCACTTGCCCTAGGGTCTCAAGAGTGAGAGAACTAGCCTGGCCCTCACCAGCTGCAACACATGGGAGAACAGGCCCTGCACCCCACCTGGGCTGCACACCAGAGCTGACCCTGCTATCAGAGGGTGAAAGTGAGCCAGTCCTAAGGGCATGAGAGCCCCCATCTGTAAGCCCCTTGCCCAAGGACAGATAGTTCCTAACATGCTGGAGACTACTGTTTATAAGAAATAACAAGCCAATGTTTTTCACTACCTTAAACAAGTTTGTTTGACCCATCTGCACCAGATGTGCTTGATCACATGTGAGCATGGGGGAAGGGGTGGTGGTTCTTAGGCATGAAATACATCAGGATGTACACTTGCCTCTGGTTGGCTATAGGCTGGAGGTCTGTCAGGATGTGTGCTTGTCTCTGATTAGACCTGATGAGAAATACTTAAGCTGCTGTAAATGGATACTTGGATCTGGAAACCAAGAGACAAACCTGTCCAGAGCCCATTTACCTGGCCAGCATTTAGTTAAAGCTTGCTTCAAATTTGGCTTTTAAATTATGGTAGGGTATACTCTGTGACTCAGTGGGCCACACTACAGCTACCATGATAAGATTCTACTTTTTGTGTACTTTTATTTTTGTTTTGTCTCTTTGTTTTGTTTGGATTTTGGTTTTTCTTTTAACTTTTTTTGATTTGGGGTTTTGGTTTGGGGTTAAGGTTGCAAGGGCTCAGGGTTAAAGTTACAAGAAGACAGGGAGATAAGTGGGATCTGAATGCATGATGTGAAATCCAGAAAGAATCAGTGAAAGTTATAATTTTAAAAAATCAGTTGAGAAACATTTCTTCCATTTATATAATATATGTTCAATTATATGTATGCTTACTATAAAAATATTAATATATTATTTATATATAAATATATTTCTATATAACAAATATAAACATTAATATTGCTATAAATATAAAATATATTACATATAAATTTATATTTACTTCTATATAGTAATAAAATTACTACACTACATAGTTAGACTTATTATTATGCTCCCTAATTTATAAATTTATAAATGACTCCTTCATACAAATGCCTCACTTTCCGAAGCACACTTTTGCTTACCCTTAGTCACCTGTTATCTCTCTCTGCGCTCAAGCTCTGCGGTCACCACCTCCTCCAGGGGGCGCTCTGGAGAAGACCAACACTGGGACCCAGGATCTTCTCTCTCTCAGGCAGAAATATCCAAAATTGGCCGTGGGAGATGGTGCGATGATCCTCTGTCACGTGAACAGTAACAAGAGATCTTCCACAAAAGAAAACAGAAAAAAAAAATGTATCACTCAGACAACCTGAGTTCCAGCTTGGTTCCATAATATAATAATTTGTGAAGGAGGACAATAGAGCAGCAGGCAGGACTCTTGGTGCAACAGATGGTCCTGCCGAGTTAAAGTGGGTCTAAGATGCCAGGAAATCCTCAGACATTGGGTTAAGTGTGGGGGTGGCTGGAAACCCTCTCTAAAGGTGTGTCATGATCCCGGCAAACACGGTCCCAGCAATCTGCACTCTGTCACAATGCTTCAGTAAACAACAGTGATCCCACAAGGTTATAAAGGGAAGCCAGGTGTGGTGGCACGCACCTATAATCCCAGCACTTGAGACAGACAGGAAGGGAGATGAGGCGCTTGGGATCATTCCAGCTGCATCGGGAGATGGAAGCCAGGAGGAGGTGTAACATGAGGGGGCCGGCTTGTTGGGGTTTCCATCCCTCCAAGAACCCCAACAGCTGGCAAGCAACAAAGAAAATCATACACAAGACTCCATAAGGTTATAAACTGATTGGCCCATTAGGTCAGGCTACTTATTAATTCTTATGACTTATCTTAACCCATTATTCTGATCTATGTTAGCCACACGGGCTCAGTACCTTTCTCAATGTGACAGCTTACATGTTGCCTCTTCGGTGGTCTGCTTGCAGGAGTGGCTGAGGAACTTCTCTGCTTCCCAGAATTCTCCTGTTCTCATTGCATCACCTCTACTTCCTGTCTGGTTTTCCCGCCTATACTACCTGCCTGACCAATCAGCGTTTTATTAAAATATGATTGACAGAATACAGACAATTCTCCCACATCAAGGAGGGGTGGGGATGGTAGCTAGCTGGTACTTTCCCAGCATGCATGGCGCTCTGGACTCGATCCCCAGAAGTGAATAGGCTGGGAATAGTATGCCCTTTACCCACCATACAGGAGGAAGAAACAGAAGGGTTAGGCGTCCAAGGCCTTCCTTGGCTTCATTTCCTGTTTGAGGGCAGTCTGGCATATATGAGACCCTGTCTCAAGTAAATAAATAAGTAACCCCCCCCAAAAAAAAATCAATAAAAGAGGAGGAAATCCCATCACCCAATGACATAGAACAAGATATTGCCCCAAATTTATTTAGTTTTTGAGGTATGGATTTTCTACATAGCCCTGACTGTCCTGGAACTTCATATATTAGGCTGACCTCGAACTCACAGAGATCTGCCTACCTCTGCTTCCTGAGTGCTGGGATGCACACGCCACCACCACCTGGCTTTGTCCAAAATTTCTAATAATGATGGCAGTACAAACAAATCTGCTGCAATGCAGCTGTCTAAACCTGCAACACAGGTAGAGAATCATATTCAACAATAACAACAAATGACAGTGTTACTGATCTATGCAGTTAGTATACAATTGTTTATAATTCTTGCAGTGCATTCCTTTTATATATTAAAAAGTTTTCTGTAAAGACATGCCAAGACAGTCGCACTCCCAGACACCTTGTTCTTAGTTTTTGGTTCTTGGTTCTGAGAACAAGAAAGGGTCTTTCTGTGGAGCCCAGGCTGGCCTCAAACTCTCTACCTTCCTTCTCTAGCCTCAAGGGCTGGGATTGCAGCTATGGGCCACACACACCTGGCCCTGTGTCTCTCAGTTGCATCAGTTCCTCGGGTGCTTGACTTACACTGAGGTCGCCATTGTTTGAGCATTTTCTATACAAGTACTGTATTCACGTCACCTACCCTCACCTCCCTCCAACTCCTCCCAAGCCACCCCCTTCTCAAACTTTTGACCTCTTCTTGTTATTGTTACATATTTCCACGTATATGTGTTTATAAAGACAACCTGCCAAATTCACTTAGCGCTGCTCCTATGCAAGGCTGATCTCTTGGGATTGGCTAACCTAATGTGGGGCTCGTCCCTGGAGAAGACTGACTCTCTCTGAGCAACCGACATTTGCCTGTAGCTCTTCACCTACGAGTAGAGAGGCTTGTGAGAAGGTTGTCTTGTTCCTTGTGACCTTGGGAACAATAGGCCACACCATGTGTATATAGACACATAAAATACCACATAGTCTGTGTGCTGCAGGCTGTACAACTGGAGTTTGTGTAAATGTGACCTATGATATTTACATAAGGCAGAAACTGCTTAAGGACAAATTTCTCAGAATGTATTGCTGACAGTCAGCCCATGTCTACCTGGACTGGGAAGGGATTCTCACATCAGTTCGCCTCCAATATCCACCCACACTTTTTAAGCTGAAGAAACAGTCTCTGGTTAGGTACCTTCAAACGTTCTTCTTTCACACGGTTCTTTACTACAAAGAAGCCTGAAGCAGGGCATGGTGACTCATGAGGCTTGGCACAATGTGGTCTTGATCATTTTAACCACTCTTCTCCATGAGTTCAAATTGTAAATTCAGAGCTAGTCTGGGCTTCTTAGCCAGACTCCGTCTCAAAGAAAGAAAGAAAGAAAATCAATAAATCTATAAGAAGATCGGCTGAGCACTTGGTAGCCTTTTTCATTGAATATATTACTTAATTTTGGAACAACCCTGTAGTTATTTTTTTCAGATAATAAGTTTACAGATCAATGAACCAAGATACAGGAACGAAAAGTAATCTGCTAAGGAGGGAGTAGAAGGTAAAGGCAAAATAGGAGGGGGGAGATTAGTCTGTTTATTGTTAGTTTGCTTCTTTTTTTTTTTTTTGAGATAGCCTCACTACATAGTCTTAGTTGGCCTGGTGCTCACTAAACAAGCTGGCCTCAAACTCACAGACATCTGCTTGCCTCTGCCTTCTAAGCACTGGGATTAATGGCATGCATCACCCAGTACAGCCCTCATTATTATTATCATTGTTTAGTAGTCTGTTTGTTTATTGTTATTGTTTTTAGACAGGATCTCAGGTATCCCAGGCTGGTCTCAAAGTCACTAAGTAGCTGAATTTGAACTCCCATTCCTCTTCCTCCCCAAGGGCTCGGGTTATAGGTATGCATCTCCAGGCCTGGTTCCCACTGCGCTGTCCATCAAACCCAGCCAAGTGCTGACCAGCTGAACTACATCTCCGGCCCTAAAGGCAGAATTTAAAATCAGCTCTAGGGCCCAATACGGTTCAGAGGATAAAGGCTGCCAAGCCTGATGACCCGAGTTCAATCTCTGGAACCCACATGGTAGGAGACAACCAACTCTGACAAGCTGTCCTCTGATTTCCACACTCCAGGCATACTCACCCCCTACCCCAACACATATAGTACAAAATTTTAAATGTAACAAAAATAAATTCTGATAGCCATGTCCATCTGGTTTAGAAGTTCTTTCCAAAGCAGTTGGTCTGAGCTCAGGCCTCACGTGATCTACCATACAGAACCCCGCTTGCTAAATACAGCAAGGTGCCCAGTACACCCTTAATACCACCTCTAAAGCACTCTCTGCTTGATCTTCTTCAGCTACTGGGGATTCATCTGAAAGCTGCAGGGTTTTTTTGATCCAAATCTATACTGAGAATTCTAACTAAGTCTGAGTTGGGCATGGTGGTACATTTGCCTATTTATTTATTTATTTGGTTTTTCTAGACAGGGTTTCTCTGTAATTTTGGAGCCTGTCCTGGAACTAGCTCTTATACACCAGGCTGGTCTCAAACTCACAGAGCTCTGCCTGTCTCTGCCTCCTGAATGCTCGGATTAAAGGTGTGCGCCACCACCTCCGGCACATTTACCCTTTTAATCCCATCGCTTGGGAGATGGAGGCAGGAATCAGGGTTTCAAAGTTGAAGCTCAATGAAAAATACATTTTGTACTAATTGTAATACTGAGTTGGAGGTGTCACTCCAGCCCCTGGCCTGGGAATTGCCAAGCACTTGTACTCCAATTCCCAGCCTGCTAAGCGCTTGGATTCTAATTCCCAGCCTGCCAAGTGCTTAAACTCCAACTCCTGGCCTGCTGAGTGCTGAGCCCTCCCCAGGAGAGTCAGGACCACTCCCACATGGTATTTAAGATGGAGGGAGGGGCACAGACACACATGGTTTCGGATTTTGCACGTGCTCTCCCTCTCTGCCGCCCCTCCCCCACCATGCTCCTGGCCACTCAGAGCACTGCATACATTAAACGTCATTTTCGATTCAGTTTAATCTGGTTTGATTGGAGTTCTTTGCAACAGCAGAGAGGCTCAGTTAGGAAATATTCCTAACACTAACATTAGTTTCAAGTCAGCATAGTGGTTTCTTCTGATCCAGTAATCAAGATGGAGAGTTCAAGGCCAACCTGGGCTACATAGGATATTCTAGGGCAACCTGGGCTATAGCAGTGGAAGATTCTGTCTCAAAACTCGAAGTACTAGACCAAAAATGGGCTGGTTCAATTGCACCGGAAGTCTGTAGCCTGAATTTCAGTCCCCAGACTCCATGCTGAAAGAAGAGAACTGTCTCCAGAAAGTAGTCTCAGCAGCTGAGAGGCTGAGGCAGGAGAATAAGGAATCTAGGACTAGCCTGGGCTACATAATGAGACTTTGTATCTTCTGTGTTACTGTTGTTTTGGGGTTTGTTGAGTTTTGTCTTGTTTTCTCAGGGAACAGTGTTGGACTCAAAGTCCAAACATCAGGGAGGAGTTGCTCCAGACACCACTCCCACAACCACAATTGATGCAAAAGCAAGAGGATTTTTATTCTGTCATGACAGGGCCCTTGAGGTTCGGGATATGAAGAACCTCCGATAGCTGTTACAGCCCATCCTTTAAAGCAAAAAGCCGCAGATACAAAGGGGGGAACCTGAAGGTTGTTTTCCAACTTATTGGATTGGCTTATTCAAAGGGTTACTAGCAGTGATTGGTCTATTCCAGGGCAGGAGAATAGCTGTGTGATCGGGTAAGATAAGGGGGAGCATCTGTGGGCCATCCTGATCTTGTCCCAGTGACTAAATCAATACATCAGGAACTGAGTCAACATCTGTGGGTTGTCTTTGCCTCAGTTCCCAGAATGGAGTTATGTTTGAAGATTATTCACAAGGACACAGGA